TTTTTCTCGTTCCCGTCGCCGCGTCGCGGGGAAACAAACGATCCACGACGGGCATTGTGTGCGACTCAGCGGCACGAGGTGTCGGCATCCGAGAAAAAATCTGTGTCGGCACGCTTTATCCAGGTCGGTTAGGCTTAGCCTGGCATAATCGCTTTTCTGTGGAAATCCTTGGCACCCGTCGTGATTTGCGTCTTAAGATCGACAATGGCTCGTTCCGAGATTGAAAGATGATAGGAAAATCCGCAGTTGTGTGCGCAAAAAGCCGCTTAAAATTCTTCCCCAAACTGGCGTGTATTTGTGTACGAGTGTGAAAAAAGGACAAAACTCACCGCTGCATTACGGGTTTATGAAATATTCACGAATTGTTATAAAAAAAAAACTCGGAACCCACGCTCTTTCGCAAAATGCTCTAAATAAATAATACTCGCCAAATGAATGGAGCTTTATGAAATGTAACAGCGGGGAATATTTATATCTTTTCGGCTCAATAATTACAGTGAGAAAAAAAGTGAAGTAATGCATACATATATAATTTCGCTTTACAACAATCAATATTATTATATTCTGCGCGCCGGGTCGACTGTGAGTTTCCATTTCAACAAAAAGTTCAGATAAACACTGCGCTTAATCTGTATAATGTTACTATGCAGTAATAATATTTTATTCGGTATAATCTCGAGGTGAAATGCACAACAGATTTCTTTCGTTTTGTCAAGAGTTTTGTTAAATCAAAATTATTTCCCTCTTTAGTGGCACGACTCTTTGAATTGTGCGTCAGACAACCTCGAATGTACATCACAATGTCCATCACAAATTTGAAACACGCTCAATAACAGCTAAGTACATCTGACATATAAAATGCATATTAATTTAAAAATATGTAACTGACTCCACGCAATTTTACTTCCTTTTAGAACTTTGTAATTTTGCATGTGTGCACGCGCGCACGAGAGAGAGAGAGAGAGAGAGAGAGAGAGAGAGAGAGAGAGCGAGAGAGAGAATTGTAATCATGATATAATAATTACAATATAATCAATCACATTAATGATTACTAGCAATCAGTAACAATGCATATGTAATTAAGCAATACGTTTTGCAAATTATGTGATATTAATGCAACCAATGACAGCGCACTGACAAATGCATTTCTCCATAATAGGTCAATTCATAATAGTTGATTTTGTTAAATCGAGAATCGATGAAACGCGTTGGGGATCTTCCAGACGGCGAGGGATTATCATTACGATTAAATTCCCGGGCCCTATCGCTCGATCTGGAAACGGCATCTATGATCGTGTGTGACCGCTATTACTGCGGTCTGCCGTCCGGCAACCGTCACGCATAGCTACGCGCGCGTAACGATCGTAGGAGACTTCCGGAAAAGAAAGAAAACTCGGGCAGCGTAATAATCCCGTTGGAAACTACGGATGACTGTGCGCAATTACGGTAATGCGGCGCAAAGACAGACGGAGGGAAAATAGAGAGAGAGAGAGAGAGAGCGAGAGAGAAATAAGTTTGTAACTCTAGGACGAACGTAATACCGAAATAACGTAGATAAGTAGATAGTTTTAAAAGAAATAGAGAAAAACTTCTCCCCTCCGCTCGAGCCTAATTTTCAATAGCGTTTACATAGATACATTTCAATTATTTTAATGGTTGACGAGTTAATATACATAAAGTTTGTCCGACGAAGCAACCCTGTATTTAATTGTTTCGTGCGGCTTAGGCGTAAACGATTCTTTTTGTAAGAGACAGAGAAAGAGACAGAGAGAGAAGATGGAGTAGAAACATTTCTCTTATGAAGGGCAAAATTCTTTGGAAGGACACCGGCGCACACGTGCGATGCACACCGGCGCGCAAATTGGAACGTGAAAAATGTAAAAGACAGGCTTAGCAAGCTGTTCGTCACTCGCGTCCGCTCCTGGCGTATACACACACACACACACACGTGTCCGTCGTCGATCTTTCCGTCTTCTCCACGCGACCATGAAAAAGAAGGGGCGCGCGCGACACACAAACACCCCCCCGGAGCACTCGAGAACTCGGCGACTCGCGGGTGAACTGTTGCAGCAGCTGAATATTACATCGCGCCGGCACGGTACACGCAATTGGACGTCGAGTTTCCCCCCTACGTACGTACATACACGTAGCGCTTATGTCGAGCGTTATCCCACGATATAACTCATACGCTCGCGCGCGCGCGCGCGCAACTCGACGCCCCCGCGCGCGCAACAAACTTACGAGCAGCTAATGTTTGCGTAGTCGCGGGAATTAAGGATGCGCGCTCCTCTCCTCCCCTCTTCTCTCATCTCATCTCATCACGGCCGAGCCGAGCGTTGCATAACCGGGGTTGCATAGTCGCATGCGCCCCCGACCCCCGGTGTTTATGCTCGATATTACGGAAGTTATGTCGTAATAGCGCTTTAGTTTTATACCTTCCGCGCCGTGCGTTATCCCTCGCCCTCCCGCTCCCCTCTCGTCCCCTGTCATTTTACGGAGCGATAAAATTACGAAGTCGAGTGACCACCCACCGGACGATTATCCTGCGCCTCGTGGATGTATTTATGGCCGCGATAGCGCGACACCGGCCGAACCGGGCGGACCCGATGAATCCACCCGCCACCGCCGCGAAATAATCATTTTCATCTGTCGTTTTTTTATTGTGCGCCGCCGTGTGCCGACTGTATCGCGGATCGACAAGCGGCGGGGTAGTTTCCCGAAACCGCGATTGCCAATTTTTTGATTGTCGCGCGCTCACAAAGGGAGGTACTAGCTGTCACTGATGACAGATTCCGTTAAATCGGAAGGGCGGAAATATCCTCTACGGAGAAGTCGAAATGTGTCGGTTTGAAGTTGAGCGTTTTGCGCCGATCAATCTCGGAAATTTGCTCGCCGACATTTCGAAATAGTGAGAGAGAAAGAGAGAGTGATTGCG